CAGCATGGCTGGCTGGGGAATTCTGGGAGTTGAAGTCCACACATCTTAAAGTTGCCAAGGTTGAGAAACACTGAACAACACATAAAATTGAGACCCATATCTATGGGTGGGGAATTAATGCAAAGAATTAATGCAAACTCCAACATCAAGCCCATCGAATACCTCTGCTCAACATTTGTATCCAACACACTAGTGAAAAGGAAGACCATCCTTTTAATGCTTCCAGGTACATACGTTTAACATATGGCAAAGTTTTAATTCCTTGGTGACTTACCCTTTTCAGACGCAAGAAAAAACTTATACTGAAGCTTTCAACCGAAAGGTTACTTCGTAAAGCAAAAGCAATCCTTGTATCACAGCACAATAAAAAGAAAAACTTAAGGATGATGGAAATAATTTATCCTCTCATTTTTACCAGTGTATGCTGACCCGCTAAGTGCCTTAGAGGCCGAAGCTTAAAAGGGAGGGAGGGAGGGTTTTTTTTAAAAAAGCTACATAGAAACAGAGAGCAACTTATATATATTTATTTACTAACTGACCAACTACAGCTTATATGCTACTCAACCCAGCAAGGCCCAAAGGCCCAATAAATAAATAACCATAACAAATCGTAACAAAATAAAACAGTGCCTTGAGAATAGCCACAATATCCATACCCAAAACAGGAGGGTCTTTCTCATGACCAGCATTTCCCCAAGGCCCTCCAGAAAATCTAGTTTTTAATGGCTTTCCCCCAAAATCCCAAGCAGGTCAGGAACCAACCTAACCTTGGGAGAAACGCTGTGGAAGGAAAAGGGGCTGTGACTGAGAAGGTTCATCCCATGATCCCTGAAGGTGACATTCCTTAAGAGAAGGGACCTGGAGAGATCCCTCCCCCACTTCCTGATTCATTAGGTGGGCAGATACCATTGAGAGAAGAGAGTCTTGCAGATAACTTAAGCCATGTAGGACCGTGAAGTGCACCTGGGAGGAAATCACAGGTAGTCCTCATTTAGCAATCACAACTGAGACTGGCAACTTGGTCATTAAGCAAAATGGTCGCTAAGTGACACCACAACTGTGCTTTGATCTTCGCTTTACAGCAGTGTTTCTCAATCTGGCCAGGGAATTCTGGGAGTTGAAGTCCATTCATCTTAAAGTTGCTGAGATTGAGAAGCATTGCTTTACAGACTTGCGAAATCGTTAAATGTGAGGATTAGTTGCAAGGTTCCTTTTCATCACTGTCGTAACTGTGAATGGTTGCTAAATGAGGCTGTCGCTAAATGAGGACTACCTGTAGCATGATTCAGTTGCTCACGCATGATACAGTACTACCGATATGAATTCATGCCCACTCCTTATTTCCAATCATTTATTTCTTATGTCAGACTTAACTGGACCGAAGGGGAATATTCTGGGAAATATTCCAGGTGGCATGAGGTCTCCAGTAACAATTTGGCTAAATTATCTATCCAGTGGAAGCAGCTTGGCCATTACATGGTCTATTCACCATTACAGTGGGAACTTGCCCCTTCCGCTTACCGCAAGGAAACATGTTCCATTTACTTGCACACTGTCTCCTCTTCGCAGGTGGGAATGGGAGATGCTGTGTGCATATGCTTCCCTCCGTGCTGAGTGACTCTCTTCCTTATTTGAACACCAAAGACACAATCTGATGCATCTCCCTTTCATTATCTAGACTTTGCGGAGAGGTATCCTGCCCTGAAGCCTGAATGGATGGGTCTGCTAACTGATTTGCTCAACATGAAACTACTGCACAGAACTAATAGCCACGCTCCAAGGCAAGGAAGATTTGGTGCATCTTATCTTCCTGCAATGTGCCTTATATTCTCATGAATATAAATTGGCTACTGCAACTAAAGGCTGATGCCAGAATCAAAAGCAGCAGCACAACTCGGAATAGGACGGAAGGAGATGCAGTGGAAATTTCAATTTTCTGACAGGTGAGCTTCTCTTGATGGGGAGAAGAGAAGGTCAGGTTGGGAAGTGAAATAACTGAACCTGAGCAGAAGCCGAGGATCTCCCTGTGACCCTCTCTTTTTGCTTTTTAACAATGGTATTTGGAGTTTAGTAACTATCGGATGCCTCAAATATCGTGTCTGGAACATCAAAACAGGAGGCAAGCAAAGCCTATTGTAGCAAGGGTTTCTGTTTCAGTGTTCCAGTGCTAAGGAAATGGCTTTCTTATACCAAAGCCAACAAGCTGATTTCAAACTGCTTTGCAAAGAGATGCCGTGGCTTAGCTGCCTCCACTTCATGTCAGAATCTGAGGACAGCCCTGTGGCTGGGTCAGGCCACAGTCGGTTTCATCCAGGTGAATTCTGTTTCATGCTCTGGCCTGCTGAGGGCATTCAGAAAACTCACAGATGTGAAAGGGAGGGCTAGAGACCACAGGCATGTGGGAAGGAAATGGAAGAGGAAGAGCGCAGTTGGAGTGAGAATGAGTGACACAGCCCAGATGTGAGTTCTGTGGGAAGGAAACATTCCAAGAGACCCCCTATAACTCTGG